AGCTTGGGCATACCTTATTTAAAAAGCAGCTCACATCGACGGCCTTTCTGTGACGCAAACAGGTTAATCACCATGTCATTAAAGTCTGCTGATTTTTGGATGAAGTCCCGCTCAATGGACAGCATAGCCAGTGTGTTTAGCCTGTCCTGTCCCATTACGAAGAAAGGATTTGATCCTCTGGGGTTGGGGTTATGGGTCCAACAGGCTTTTTTGCTTGTCTGATCATGATCTGGTATCTGCCATTTGCGGGACCAAGACAATACGTCAGCCTCGCCACGACTGAATTTTGTGCAACGTTTTCAGGCATGTTTAGCCCCCCAAATATTGTTCAAATGTTAACACTAAAGCTCATTTGCGCCGCATCGCCATAGCAGCGTGGTTCTACAACAATTCTTAAGATTCATAAGATGCATCGTCATCATCCAGGGAGTTCTGACAGAATTTCAGCTGGATCTGATTAACCTGCTAGGAGTAGAACATGGAAGTATAAAAAATTTAATTTCCTTTCACCACTAGGTGGCACTATCATTATTACTGAATATTATCACATAGATGTGTTCAGGGTGGGACTCTTATCAAACGTGTGCATCATGGTGCAGACCGAACAAAGTACACTGAAGTTATGACAACTTCCTGTTTCATGGCGAAACGTCAAAACTTGGCGCCATTCCACGTACTGATGAAAAGTCTTTTAATTTTGAATGTCTTTAGATGGCTGTGTCCAAATTTGAAGTTGAGCTGATCAATTCCCTAGGAGGACGTGTGCAAAATCGCCAGAAATAGATATAGAATATAATAATAGAATAGAGAGAATAGAAATAGATACTGATAAATAGAACTGAATCCAAAGTGGTCGACTTCCAGTTGGGTTTTGGATATGGCTCCCACTGGATTTTTTGTACGTCAGGATAAGATCTACGCATGTGCCGATTTTTATGCATATCGGTGAAATGGGCCTTGGGGGGTACAGTTGGATGGATGGATTCCTGATGGGCCATTTTGCCATGCTCATAGTTGACCCCTAGAAAATACAAATTTTCGCCAAGACGCGTTTCATGAGTTTTCGGACATGTTGCGACCTCCAGAAATGCGATTGTTTCAGAGGAATAATTATAATTCCTACAGATAGAATAGGGCCTTCGCACGCAGTTAATAAAGTTAAAAGCGGCATCACATTAAGGCAAGTGGGTTTTAAGAAGATATTTAAAATGGATGGTAAATGGACCTGTATAGCTTCCGACCACTCAAAGCGCTTTTACACTCATCACACACATTCACACAGCGATGGCTACTAATGCATTCATACACATTCACACGATCCATGGCATCGGGAGCAATTCGGGGTTCAGTATCTTGCTCAAGGATACTTCGACATGTGGCACCAGGAGCCGGGGATCGAACCAACAACCTTCCGGTTAGGGGACGACCCACTCCGCCTGTGCGCCACAGCCGCCACGGAGATTATCTCCAAAGCCAAGGGGTCCTGATGGCAAAAGCATGACCACCTTTAGATTCAACACTCAACTTTAGAACAGCCAGGATGGCCCCACCTAAGAACCCAAGGCTGCAAACTAGCTAATAAGAGGTCAACATTTCTGCTATGTAGCTATGCTATGGGGCCAGACCGAGGTATTCCTTTAAAGTGATTAGTAAATCTTAGAATCAATTCTAAAGCCAAAGGAGAGAAGCCAGAATTGGGGTTATATGATATTTTCTGTTAAAACCAGTAATGAACAGATGTTAAGTTGAGAAAGTGAAGAAAACATACATGCTCATATGTACACACACATACACAGGCTAGGGACAGACAGAGACCACTCAGTGAATCTCTCAATGACAGCGGAGGAAAAAAGCAATTGTTTCATTAGTTTAAAACCCTGACATTATAAAGTTGAGTTCAGTGTATTTGTAGGCCTTACAGCCGTTGTAGCTCAGAGGTAAAGTTTATCAAAAGTTTGGTAGTTCAATCCCCATGTCAAGCATGTCAGAGTATTCCTGATCAAGATACTGAACCCCAAATTGCTCCCATTCAAGTTGCTCCTTGAATTTTCAATTAATTTTCCAAATTCTGTCTGTATCTTAGAACTGCCCAACTGTGTCCCCCTGTATGCTATGCGGTTGACACTGCACTGGGTGTTTTTTTCCCATGCTATACAAAAAACAAATTCCACCAACTTGGGTTGTATGGTGAAGTGAGTGAATAAAGTGAAGGTTTTAAGTGGTTTTTGGTTTAAACAGGGACACACTGGGGAACTGTTTCTTCCTGCGGACAGAGATCAGCCTGAAGGGAGCCACCTACCAGATCTCCTTCACCGACACTGACCAGCTGCCACCACCCTTCCGCATCGACAACATTTCTCAGGTAAGGCACCGTACTGCTTTAGCAGCATGACCTGTTACTGATTACTCAAGAAAGAAAGGATGCCTCACATACTAACTAGGTTTCCATTCAAATGTAGTGCAAATTCTAACTGAATTTCCAGAAAATCTGCAACATAAAATGCAAATTAATGCACATTTCCATGCATTACCATTATGCAAATGTTAGTTGTTTTGTTGTGATAAAAGTGCATGGTGCTAATTTAGATTCCATTCTTTTAATTCCTTCAGGTGCCTATCCAGTTCTGGCAGCATGGTGTGGCTGACATCCGGCTGCACACTGAGGTGAAAGCAGGCTCTGTGCTGGACTATGCCTGTGATGAGCCCACGCTTTCCCCCTACCTCACACTGACTGTGAAGGGAGCTGGATCCTCCGAGGTCACAGCCGACATGAATTTCTTCAGAGAATACAACAAGCTCTACTACGAGAACTTCATTTACATAGCTGCCACACACACTTTCTCACAGTACGGACCAGTGACACAACTAGCTAATAATACCATCTCATATATAAAAGTTAAAGTCAAAGGTAAGCAGTGACATTTTGTTGATGCAGGGATGTTGAGAGGAGACCTGTTGGGAAGAAGCGTCCGGTGAGCTGTGCTGAACTGGTTCTCGATGTGGACACCAAGACTCAAAGGGTCATCCTGAAAAAGAAGGTACTGTATTTAGTTTAAAACAAACCAGAGTGAACAAACAACAGGATTCCCCAGGACTCTGCTTTTAAAAGTTTGAAAAAGCAGGAATTGTTTATAAATAGAGTTATTGTACAAGTTTAGAGGAGAAGAGAGAACAGTTTGATTAATTGTCAGTCAGTTGCAAGAAAAGGAATCAACATTTTTTTTTATAATTGATTAAAAGAAGAAATTGAAATGTCCCCTGGGAAACAGTAAAGGACATTTTATAGACTAAAAGATGATGTGATTATCGAAAAAATAATTTAACGGTAAAAACGATTATAAAAAATAAAAGTTTTAAATATTTTATAGAAAAAGAAAAACTAGATTGTATTAGATTGTTGAGACTCAACAATATCTGTCTCATACTACTACTTTGGATCAGAGGTAGAGTGGGTCGTCCACTAATCGGAAGGTTGTTGGTTCGATTCCCGGCTTCTCCCACTGCATGCCGAAGTATCCTTGAGCAAGATACTGAACCCCAAATTGCCCCCCATTGCTGCG